TCTTTCTTTCTTTCTTTCTTTCTTTCTTTCTTTCTTTCTTTCTTTCTTTCTTTCTTTCTTTCTTTCTTTCTTTCTTTCTTTCTTTCTTTCTCTATTTATCATCCATCCATCTATCCACCTATCCATCTATTCATCCATCCATCCATCCATCCATCCATCCATCCCATCTATCCATCCATCCATTGTAAAACAGGACAAAATTCACTCCACACGTGTCTCTTTTAGCAACATAAATTTTGAGCTCAGTTGTGGTAGTTAAGTCAAGGACTGCCTGTAATAATTTCCTTACTCCTTTGCGCAAAGTGATAGTAGCACCATTGAAGCTTTCTTAGGCCTCCTACATCCAGAGGACTTTTATTAAACTGTCAGCTCAAGTTAAATTTCAATTTATGGTGTGTGACCAGCACTGATAATAAAATTTCAGACAGAGTTAAAATTACATTTTACATTTTAAAGTTACATTTGCAAAACAGTCTAACAACTATGAAGTTTTTAAGAAGAGGCTGGACAGTCACTTGTGTGAGATGGTATAGGTTCTCCTGCTTGAGCTGGACTAGAAGACCTTCAAAGTCCTTTTCAGCTCTATTCTATTGTAAGTGAGATCTAGGATGCAGCCTATATTAAACCGTAATGTAAACACGGAAATTATTTTAAGTGGGACAGCCTCTCAGATTACATTACAGTGAAAGTATCTAAAAACTGTTATGTCAACAAATCATGCCTAAAAATGTCATGAATTACAGTGACAAAGTATGCACTGCGGGATATTGGCGCATCAGCACCAAGCAAACAGGAATGTTGGTTTGTTTGAACTTGCTCAATTGGAAATGAATCAGGTAGGGTTAGTCGATGAATCTGCAGATGTTCTTCAGAACAAAAGACTTAATCGTGTGTTTATGGGTTATGAGTTATGGCAATCCTAATTTTCATTTTCTTTCTTTCTCTTTCTTTCTTTCTTTCTTTCTTTCTTTCTTTCTTTCTTTCTTTCTTTCTTTCTTTCTTTCTTTCTTTCTTTCTCTTTCTTCCTTCCTTCCTTCCTTCCTTCCTTCCTTCCTTCCTTCCTTCCTTCCTTCCTTCCTTTCTTTCTTTCTTAGATTTTAATGCTTGCATTTAAATCTGGTATTCCTGATACACAGGAATCACTTCTATTCTGGAGGTTGTTTACCTCCAATGCTTGTTGAGATGGCTGGCTTTAAAAATGGATTAACCCAAAGAACTACGAGTTCAGGTTTTGGCTGAAAGCAGTTTACACCACACAGAATTGCATTGTCTGATCAGGCCTCTCTCTGAAATCAAAGATAATCCAAAGGCTGAGATTTGACCACAAATCATGGTTTATTCAAGCTGCCAGGACTGTGTTCAACACATACACTGAACCCCATCCAAACAACCTGTATTTTGGATCTGTAAAAGTTAGTTGAGTGAGACCAAAAATTAACTTTGAGTACATACTTTTATTTATTGATTAGTTTATTAGGCCGTATCAAAGTGCAGAGTTCCAGAAACTAATGATTATTAAAATTGGATGTAATTTTGCAAAACAGTAAGCATTGGATCTCTGCTTTCAGGAAAAAAATGCTTTAATTACAGATAGAAAAAAATATTCTCAGTGCAGATACAGGTCGATATACGACCTCAATTGAGCCTAAAATTTCTGTCGCTAATCGAGACATTTGTTAAGTGCCTCCTTTTATGACTTAACATGGTTGTTGTGAATCTGGCTTCCCCATTGATTTCGCTTGTCACAAAAGGTTTACAATAACTTGCAGGCTTGTCCCAGGGAGAAAACTCTGAAATGGTGTGAATTAATGGCAAATCCCGATTAATTAAAAAATGATAAGGTTGCTAGATTGGATGAACCACGTTTCTCACGTATTTCTGATGTGAATGCTTTCTCTCTGAGTCAAACCGGCACGTAGAATTAGACAGATCTGCCCAACTTCTGCAAAAGTTCAAAAAAAAAAAAAAAGGAAGCGAAATAAGAAACACGAAAATGACTGGCCATCGGATGTTGCTGGCCACAGGAAGAAAAACGGATTGGTTGAACTGGTGGGAAGCCCAGTCAGAATATATATATATATATATATGTTGCAACAGTTTTGAGGCATGTTGGCATTTCTCCTTGCCAAAAGGAACAATTTGATATTCTTCCTGATAAACTGTTGACGCAGAGGCTTTTAGTTCCCTCACTCGTTCCAAATGTTTATCTGGAATGATTAAAACTATCCCTTTTAAATAAAAAAATAAAAAATAAAATTTCCCAGGGAGATGGGACGTTTCCTTTTTTTTTTTTTTTTGGTTCGTCCGGAGCCTCTTGTTATCGCTGCCAAAAAGAGAGCAATGGTTTAAGATTTGGAGCTAAGATGCTGTGGTTTGGTTGAGCTGGAAAGAGAGAGGGGGGGAGAGAAAAAAGAGAAAAAGGGGAGAAGAGAGAGGAGGGAGGGAGGGAGGAGAGAAAGAGAGAGAAGCAAGAGAGGAGAGAAAGAGATGTGAGAAAGAGAGAAGAGAGAGAGAAAGAAGGGAGAGAAAGAGAGAGAAAGAGGAGAGAAAGAGAGGAGAGAGTGGAGGGAGAGAAAGAAGGGAGAGAGAAAGAGAAGAGAGGGAAAGAGAGAGTGGGTGGGAGAAAGAGAGAGAGGAGAGAGAAAGAAGACAGAGAAGAGACAGAGGAAGGGAGGAAAGAGTGGGGAGAGGGAAAGAAGGGAGAGAGAAAGAGATAGAGAGAAGTGAGAGGAAAAGAGAAAGAGCGAAACAGTGGGAGGGGGAGAGAGAGAGAGAGAGAGAGAGAGAACAAGACAGGAAAAAGAGGGGAGTGAACAGTTCGTACCAGTGTTGGGAACAATTCTGCAAAACCTACTGTGACTTGACATTGTATCAGCAAACCGGCTGTTGTATCTTTGTGGTTGCATTGGGAAATTGGCAAGCGTGGATTTTCTCAGTGTTCAGTTAAGCAGCTCAGATGGGGGCAGGGAGACCCAGTTCTGCCTGCAAGATGAACCCTCAAATATTTGCGGATTGAGCGGCTGTAAGATCCGTATAAAAGATCATGGCAGGTTTTTACAACTGCCTGAAGACGAACAAGTAAGTGGATTTTCATTTACGCTTTCTTGCTTTTTCCTTCCTTCCTCTTCCTTCCAAAGAGAGCCCACGTTGAGCGGATGCTGGAAAGCAAAACACAACTCCTTACTTTACACTTACTCCCACAATGCGTTCCTTGTTACAACCTCTCTTCTTTCATAGTAAATAGTTTTGGGGGTTGCTGCAAACCTGCAAGCAACCCCCTGCAGATCTTGAGATGCCTTTTGGAAGGAAAACACGCTTCAATTTGAGGAGTTTGCTAATAAAATTTGTTGCTTTTCTTGAAGTGTCATTAAATTAAAAAAAAGGTGGGGTGATATTGATCAGGAACATCACAATTTCTGCTGTTTTTTTAGAAAGAAAGAAAGTCCAGAGAGCTTCATAGTTGGGCAACCAAGAATTTTTCAGATACTGAACCGGTTTTTGATTGCAATTGATTAGTGATTCGTAATGGATTAGTAATGGATTAGAATGGGATTCTCTCGCATTCAGGAGGCATGGTCATTCAGAAAGAAGGATGCTTGAGTATAAGAAAGCTTTGGAGTTTCTATCCTTTCTGGGATTTTGGAAAGAGACCACAGTGAGCTTGCGATAAGAAATCAAGTCAGAAAAACTGTTTTATGAAGCCTTGGGTTGAACGAAGTGGAGGAGGTTTCACAACTGGACAGGACTGGAACATACAATCACAAAAAAATCCCCTATGCTGTCTGGGGAATTTTGGGAGTGGAAGTTCCCACATTTTTCAGTTGCCAAGTTTGCAAAATACTAATCTACAATTTCTGGTGGTGCAGGACATCTTCATTCTGGGATATCTTTAATACTACTCTGGTGTACAGTTATATATTTTCGGAAAGTTCTCCATCCATATACTATATTCAGGTTGAACCCAGCTCAGCTTCCCCAAATCAGCCTTTGATAAAATTATCCATCTTCAGTCAGCGGGACCCAAGTCGCGGCTGTGAGAACGTTGTTATCAAAGCAAACCTTTATGATGGTCAAAAAAATCAGCTTAGCATTGTCAATATAACCTACTGAATTAGTTGGGACTCGATAGAAGCTGCAGTAGGGAGACAGGAAGAACAATTAACCAGTGGAATGACTTGCCACCAGAAGTTGTGGGTGCACCATCGCAGGAGATTATTAAAAAGAAATTGGACAGCCATCTGGAGGTACTAATACCACTCTATAAAACCTTAGTAAGGCCACACCTAAAACTTCATTCAGTTTTGGTCACCACACCATAAAAAAGATGTTGAGTCTCTAGAAAGAGTGTGGAGAAGAGCAACCAGGATGATGAGGGGACTGGAGGCTAAAACATACGAAGAACAGTTGCAGGAAGTGGGCTTGGCTAGTATAGGGAAGAGAAGGACCAGGGGAGACAGGATAGCAGTCTTCCAATATTTAAGGAGCTGCCCCAGAGAGGAGGGGTGTGTGGTTCAAGCTATTTTCCAAAGCACCCAAAGGCCAGACGAGGAATAATAAATGGAAAGTGAACAAGGAGAGATTCAACCTAGAAATAAGGAGAAACTTTCTGACAGTGAGAACAATCAACTAATGCCGTTGGAATTTGTGGGAGCACCATCACTTGATACTTTACAGCCGAGACTGGACTCCCATCTGTCCAAAATGGTGTAGGGTCTCCTGCTTGGGCAGGAGGTAGGACTAGATGACCTACAAGGTCCCTTCCAACTCTGATTATCTGTTATCTGTTAGAGAGAGAAAGAGACCCTTCTGGCAACTCAACTTAAGGGCGCCTTGCAGAATGAATTCCTTGCCCGCAGAACATCTGTATTGAATCCACTTGGACTCAAATAAACCAAGGGAGGGAAATTTAATCTCTCCACATTGCCTTCCGCCACCCGCCACCCCTCTTTAAGATGCCCCTTCCCCCTTCCAAGCCAATTGAAATGTAATTCTCCGAGCGCTGCTGCGTCTCTGCGAGCTATTTGAAAAACGCCGAGCATTTTTCAGCAGGCCTCTCTGATCCGCTTCCAGAAGTATGATACCATATCCTGCATTTGTGGGAGGGGGGGTTGGTGGTGGAGAGGAAATGAGAGGGGTGGGCTGGAGAAGGGAAATCGTTCTTGGTTTTTTGCAAAAAAAATTTTTTTTAAAGAAACAAGGGGGTTGCCAGGCTGAGTGCTATTCAGAGGTGGAGTTGGGACTGCCTGGGGAGTGAATTAGAAACACACTGGGTCCAATGTTTGTGAAGTCCTAAACATGGACATGAGGTTTCTTGCGGTGTTGTAGGACGGGCAAGAAATAACACTAAGCCCACACACGACACTTTCTCCACCATCTAGCTCAAGGGTCTTCAAACTTGGCAACTTTATTTTATTTTTTTTTAATTTTAAAAATAAACTTTATTAAATGTTAAAAAATATATATAGATAATACAAAACATTTCATAAAATATGAAACTAGAAAGTTATACATAACTAATAAACGTAAAAACATAAACATATCTAATTGCTTAGATGGTGTGATTATATCAAAACAGTTTTTCAATACTTAGTTCCTATAGGTGGTATATACTCCTATCATGACCTCTTCATATTTTCCCTTGCCTATCTGCTTACTCACAGGTTTCTATCCTTTATCCAATTATACCAGTTTTCCCAAACTGTAAAATATTTTGAGTCTTGCTTATCTTTGAACTTTTGGGTGAGTTTATGCATTTCCGTGCAGTCGTAGATCTTCTGGATTATCCAATTATCTGTTGGCATCTGGTCTCCCTTCCAACATTGAGCAAATGCTATCCTTGCTGCGGTTATTATATGTAAAAAAAAATGTTGGGAATAATAAAAATGTGAAATCGCAAAAGAAATCAAACTTGGCAACTTTGAGATGTGTGGACTTCAACTCCCAGAATTCCCCAGCCAGCCATGCTGGCTGGGGAATTCTGGGAGTTGGAAGTCCACATGTCTTAAAGTTGCCAACTTTGGAGATCCCTGATCCAGCTTGTGTCACAACTGCCGTTCAGAGCCTTAAGAGCAAGCAGTAGAGACAATCATCCCACACGTTGCATGAAAGCCAGAGTTGGTTTGGTTTTCACACTTCCACACCACACTTCCTGAAATAAAGCAGAGAGGGATGCCATTTCCTCCTTCGTTGTGTTTACCTAACAAATCCTGCTGTAGAAATCACAAGGTGTGTGTGTGTGACACATAGAGCCTACACTTGGCTATGTTGTGATTTAGTGGGTTGGCTGCCTTTAAAATAATTGACTTGCGCTGAGTGTGACCTGCTCAGCACGAAAATGGCATTTGTCCCATCCTGTTGGGTTGTGCTTTTTTTTTTTTGAAAAACATTGAACTGTTTAAAGATAATATATGTATAAATGCAAGACAGAAGATGGAAAAGAATAAAATAATGTGTCTACAATGTCAAGGAGATGAGATAGATAGATGATAGATAGATAAACAGACAGACAGATAGATAGATAATGTAGGGAGGGAGGGAGGGAGGGAGGGAGGGAGATAGATAGATAGATAGATAGATAGATAGATAGATAGATAGACAGACAGACAGACAGACAGACAGACAGACAGACAATGTAGCTAGGGAGAGAGGAGAGAGAGAGAGAGAGAGATTTATAAATACAGGTATACATGTATGTTTGTATTTATATTTAGACAGACAGACAGATAGGGTACGTAGGTAGGTAGGTAGATAAGGTAGGGAGGGAGAGAGATGGTAGATAGATAGATAGATAGATAGATGGATGGATGGATGGATGGATGGATGGATAGATAGATAGATAGATAGATAGATAGATAGATAGATAGATAGATAGATAGATAGATAGACAGACAGACAGACAGACAGAAAAGAAGGACTAGGGGGTGATATGATAGCGGTGTTCCAATATCTCAGGGGCTGCCCCAAAGAAGAGGGAGTCAAGCTCTTCTCCAAAGCACCTGAGGGCAGGACAAGAAGCAACAGATGGAAACTCACCAAGGAGAGAAGCAACCTAGAACTAAGGAGGAATTTCCTGATAGTGAGAACATTTAATCAGTGGAACAACTTGCCTCCAGAAATTGTGAATGCTCCAACACTGGAAGTTTTTAAGAAGAGATTGGACAACCACTTGTCTGGAATGGTATATTTCTGACAGATGGCAGTCCAATCTCTTCTTGAAAGCCTCCAGTGATGAAGCTCCCACAACTTCTGAGGGCAACTTCTGTTCCATTGGTTGACTGTTCTCACTGTCAGAAAATTCCTCCTTATTTCTAGATTGAATCTCTCCTTGTTCACTTTCCATCCATTATTCCTTGTCCGGCCTTCGGGTGCCTTGGAAAATAGCTTGACCTCCTCCTCTTCTCTGTGGCAGCCCCTCAAATATTGGAAGACTGCTACCCTGTCTCCCCTGGTCCTTCTCTTCCCTAGGCTAGCCAGGCCCAGTTCCTGCAACCGTTTATCGTATGTTTTAGTCTCCAGCCCCCTAATCCTCCTGGTTGCTCTTCTCTGCACTCTTATCTAGAGTCTCAACATCTTTTTTATAGTGTGGTGACCAAAACTGGATGCAGTACTCTAGGGGTGGTCTTACTAAGGCAGAAATGTAGCCTGCCCTCTGTTCTCTTTGGCTTGGGTAAATATGCCCAAAGCATTCCCTTCTGGGTTGCTTTCAGAGGGGCAGAAGACAATCCACAGAGCAGATGTTTCCTGTTAGGAATTGTTTTATGGACACCGCTAAGTGGGGGATTCCCTTTTCAGGTGGCTCAAATGCTAATAAAAGCCTTGCCCTTCCTTGTGTTTCATGCTACAATGAAGGGACTCCCACTGTCCCTACTGTCATCTTTCCTCCACTCGGACAAATCTCTCTTGGATTGGGCAGTTGTCTGCAAAAATAAAGAGCAAAAGCCACCTTCATGCCAAGGTGCAATTGGTGACTTTCCCATAAAAGTAAAAAGGTTTCCCTCGCACATACGTGCTAGTCGTTTCCGGCTCTAGGGGGCGGTGCTCATCTCCGTTACAAAGCCGAAAGAGCCAGCGCTGTCCGAAGACGTCTCCGTGGTCATGTGGCCGGCAGGACTGCACGGAACGCGGTTCCCTCCCCACCAAAGGGGTCCCTATTTTTCTTCTTTCGTTTTTACATGGTTTAGAACTGCTAGGTTGGCAGAAGCTGGAACCAGTAACGGTTGCTCACTCCGTTACGCAGCACTAGGGATTCGAACTGCCAACCTTTCTGATCAACAAGCTCAGTGTCTTAGCCACGGAGTCACCACGTCCTCTCATGGTAGCAAAATAAAGTTTGGGATTACAGTGGCAAGCCGACCTTTGGCTGCACCTGATTTTTTGCCAGCGGTCGTTAAGTGATTGCTTGAAACCCACTGGTGGGATTCACATTTTTTTATTCCTAGTTCTGTGGGTGTGGCTTGGTGGGCATGGCAGGGGAAGGTTATTGCAAAATCCCGTTCCCTCCCCAGCCTACTAACCTGCTTTCCAGCTCTGTTCTCCTGTGCAGGGCAACCAAAGAAGATCCAGCCAATCAGCTGGGACTCGGGAGGCGGAGAATAGATGGGGGTGGGGCCAGTCAGAGGCGGGATTTGCCGATTCCCCAAACCACTCAACATTTCCACTACCTGTTCTCCAGAACTGGTCTGAACCAGCTGAATAACACCTCTGCTTGAAACCTCTAATTTTTATTTTTTATTTTTAAAAAAGTTACATTTGGTTAGAAACACCCATGCGGTGACTCTGTGTTTTCTTATCAAAAACACGAAGGACTAGAAGAGCCTTACCCTTAAAAATATTCCCAAGCCACAGTTTGGGACCGAGTCAATTTCAGGCTACGGCTTCCTGGATGGATGCCTGTCTGAGGTCTCCTTTTCAGCCGGAAAAAACATATTTAGGGTTGGGCCTGTGAGTTTCTTTCCTCCAGCGGTGTTAAAATAAAAATTAAAAAAAGCACGCAGCCTTTTAATGGTTTCTTGCCTCTCCTGTAAACCTTGATCCCGACTTCCTGAAAAGCCTTTCCGCAAAGCAAGGAGACTTTTTCCAGTTTGAGCTGTAGTAGAACGGGAGGCTTTGAGAAGCGCTCCAGCATCCTGGGGGCTCCCCAGAGGAGCTTCTGTGGTGTTGGCTGTGGGATGAATCCAGTGGATCGTGACCCCCCTGGATAAATGTCTTCCCTGCTTCCTTTGCGTGCAAATTTAGGAACTGCATCGCGATGACCACCCCAGAGACACTGGAAGGCGAGGAAGGGACCGACGCGTCTGCAGGTGAGTTCTTAAAAAGTTTCTTTCTTTCTTTCTTTCTTTCTTTCTTTCTTTCTTTCT